GAGGAAATACAATTGTGATTTGCAGTTGATGATTAGAGATAGAAATTAGATTTAGAGTTTTCATCACGAACAGACATCAGCTATGATGCAAAAACTCTATTCATTCGAATGAATGAGTGAATTCCACGTCAAAATCTGAGACTTTTTATCTTATAAGTGATTGGTTCGTCCATAAATTATAGTCTTACCCATTAAATGGATAAAGCTAATCTTCAAGAAAATTATGCTTTATATCTAAGAATAACTATATAATAAGTAAATCATAAAATGTATTTCAGTAGTAGATACTAACATTCAGTGGTCATGAGTGTATTTACTGTTAAATGTATTTAATTGAATAGTTTATGAAGTATAGTTTCATATCAATTGTTTACAATTGTCCCTTCACTTCAAAATAATAAATTTAGGATTAGATTTCGTTTCATGAATCATGGGAATAATTAGTATTTAATAGCATACAATGTAGAATAGGAAGTTGCTTTGTTTTAAACCAAAGAATTACAGAAAACTAAAGATGACCAGGCGAATTATAAGAATAGATTGTTTCTGAACACATCAAGGAAATAGATTTTTAAATGTTAGGCACTTCTAAAAACCTAAGAATATGCTCATATAATTGTTATATAAAGATTTAGAAGCTGTTTTAAGGTCAGTTGGAAAAAACTTGTTTCAATTAAGAATTGATATAGCTGTGCATGGCAGTCTACGTTATTTATTTATTTGGGCTAGTGATTCTACCATATTACTTTGAGTAGTAAACTACTAATCATAGTATTTTTCTATATGTTGAAAATAACACTTGGGTATACGAAGTTCTATAAGCGAAGGTAGTTCTCAACTTATAATTCTCTAATTAAGGGTAGAGCGTTGTTTCTAATCCACTTTCATTTTATCATAATAGTATTTCATATTGAAAGGTATGAACTAACAGAGACGAAAATATATACCAATTTTGTGTATTTCGTAAAGCAAATCTGATATTAGATGAAGATAAGAAGCAGTTGACCAATATAATAATTAACGAAAAATTCCAGCATTCGGTCAAATGTATTATCGTATATAAATTAGTATACTGTAAAACGAGACATGTCTGTATGTGCTCATCCCTGGCCAACCTCAAGGTTAATTAATCAATAGTAACCTTAACTATTTTGACTATTGTACTTACGACCTTTCGTAGTCAAATGTAATAGTCTCTGTTATCTTTATTCACAAATCTTTTATTATGTTATTATCGTAATACGTTTTACTAATTTTTCACACTAAACATTTGGTCGAATGATAATTGCACTATTATTTCTCTCACCCTAACTGACCCATATTTATTCTGATCACGAATCTTAAATTTCACTTAAGATATAAGCTAATTCAAGTTAGCATTCTATGGGTCAGCTAATAGTCCAATTGACAGATATGAAGAAAAAACGACAAATAAAATGTCATTCTATGTAAGTCATGGTGGAGAAGATTTGTAGCTCAGGTGGATGATTTTGGTGGAGTTTTGTTCTATCTTCGAGTAGTTCTTCGGCTTTGTTGACGTATTCTTCTTTATCCATGATTACTGTGGTGCGCCCTTTGTCCGCTGGTATTATGACATTATCTTTTCTATTTCTGAGTTCTTTCAAGGTCTTTCGTTCTTATGGAGTATCTTCGAGTAGTGCCAAGTACTAGTGCTAGTACTAGTGCAAAACTCCACCAAAAATATGTAAGTCATATCAGCAATAACAATTTTATTCTATCAGATGAGGGTTTTATGAATATCATAGTAATTTAATGGTTGAGTCTATGAGTCAACTGAAACTAGACCACTATGGGGAACGTGAAAGCACTGGATGGCCGTTTCCAGTTTGTTTGACAATCCTAAATTAACATGGTTTAACTTTAATAGATGCGTTTTACCCTTAACTTGGTCATTTTTCGGATTAACTTGGATATATAATTTTAGAACCTGAAGAGAATTTATCGAAAATAATATTCTTCGTTCAAGTATTAGTCTTTTAACATGATAGGGATCTTTAAACGATTAATATATATCTATTAATAAGTAGGCATTTATTACTGAATTTATTCTAGCATAGCAGATAAAAGTGAAATTATTGACTATTGAGTATAATGAACATTATTGTTTAAATTAATGATTAAAATATTCACTTTAATAGTTGAGATCCTGAATCAGTAGAATCTATACCGCCATGGAAATCCTGGAAGCACCAGACGGCCGTTTCTTCCTATTGTAGGATTCCTCAGCATTACCCATCCTCGACCCCGCCTCATCATCTCATCATTTCATATTTGACAATATGATGATTATGGATAAATGAAACTAATCACTAATAGTCATAGTCATGATTTACTTCTATTAATATTGAAATCTAAAACAAAAATCCATTCATATACATAAATAATAAAATTAATTAAATTAAATCAAATCTCTATTAACTGATCACAGGACTCTTTTAATTCATTTCGTATATTTTTTTAAATTTTTTAAATTTTTTGGCGGATATTCAAAATCATAAATTTACATATTATTTAATAAAACAATATTCTACATTATACAAGAGCAAATTGAAATGATATTTGATTTTTATTTTAATTAATCTGTTAAACTTTCAGCGAGATTCTAATTTACGGACGACCTTTGAATGAATCTTAAGCGACCTTGAGAAACATTAGCCAATCAGCAAATAGTCAGTATAGAGTAAAACTATGTTTTACAAAACAAAGGAAATAAAGTGGATATATTTTTTATACGTGGTTCAAAAACTTGTCAAGGCTAGAAAGAGATTCAGACGTTTTAAAATCGTAATGCATGCAGTAGGGGACATCATCCATACGACTACAGAATAGTCGGCCTCTGGACCCATGATAAAGTCTCAAAAACACTTTCAGCCTCGACCACATAGCTTCAATATTATTAATGTATACTCAGGTTGTTGAGTGCACAAAATGCTACTTGCGGATAACGGCACGATGCGCATAACGAAGTCTATGTATGAGTCTGTAAGCTCTCCAAACATTTGTATATATTGTAGTACCTGGCTGCAGCCAGTGATGCTTTACTGGTGCTTTTATCATCCAGTTCGCCATAATTATCGTAATTTGCCTAAGAAATTATATATGCGGTTTTCATCACGAACTGACATCAGCTATAATGTCAGAAATTTATTTACCCAAATGGATGAAAGGCTTTCGCGTTAAAATCCGAGATCTATTATCTTATACCTGATTGATTCGTCCACAAATTATAGTCTCGCCGTTTTATTTGTTATAGCCGCTCAGTTATCACGTTTTGTACAAAATTCCCTATGAACCGATCGTACATTAGCATTAAGCATTGAATTTGAAATCTCTAAAACGCTTCTGATTGGCTCGTCCATAAATTAGAGTCTCTCCAAACTCTCTAGTGGCAGTTATATAGTTTTTACTAATAAATAAATACTTTATTAAAATAAATTGATAAAACATAATTGAAATGAATCGTTTGACTTGGTAGACTAGTTCTACGGGTTTTAGGAGCCATTAGTTCAGTCAGTAAATCACTGTTCTCTAATTGGCGGTATCATTACGTAATATGGTAATAAAACACAATGCCACAAGTTGTAACACTTAATAGAGCGATAACATTTTGCTTTCATCACATAAATCAATATGGTTTACATCACTTAAAAATTCATTTTATCGTAATTAAAAAAATATCTTTTACAATTGGATGTGAAGCATAAATTTCGGAATTAAATATTGAGACAAATTCATTTGGTGTTTTTTACCTGTATATTTAGGACTGAAATTGATCAGTGAATTTAAAACTTCACGCCATTGCACAAGCAAGTGGCTATCAGGACTCAGTAGATAAGTGGATAACGCGATGTCGTTTGAGACGAACAGTGCCGGGTTCGAGTCCCAGGGAGAACATCAACTCTGGGATGTATGTACATATATCTGACAAGTCAGGAATAGGAGAAAATGCACGTCGTGGATTCTACGGCTAGCTATTATCCATCTTTGCTTAAAAATAGGGATTTTTTATCAATAAATAACAATTTTTCTTAGGGACTACTAATAGTTATTACTGAAAATGTTGATGAACGTTGAGAGAGTTGAATCATAAGTGATCAATAGGGATAAATATGTATGCTAAGGAAGGTAATTTGTCCAAGTTTTAAAATTTGCATTCTTATGGCAGAATTTATTTTATAGAGGGAGAATAAACACAAGGAATTACTTATTTTACTATACCCAATACCATTTTATTTCGTAGTTTATATCACAAATTCATCTTATCTAAACCACGAGTGAAAACCAGAGTTCACTGGGTATTTTTGACGTCTTGTTATGATGTTCGTCAGGAAGGCTCATCCACCTTACTAGTAGGAACGAACAGAGGACTGTCAGTTACGCGTGAGAACGGATAAAATTTAGATCACTGAGCAATCATCCAGTAGAGTACATGTCTAGCTTCAGTCAATCCGTAATGTTGCGCAATTAGCTTTCATTTCCTTGGGTGAATAACTATCTCACACTCGACAATGTTGATCTTTTATGAATAATAATGTTTAAATTTAAATACAAACTAGCCCTAGTACTTATTGGAAACGATGTTCGCCTTGATATTTACAGATTTCTCAGATTGTTTCAACACCATTATTGATCTGAAGTTATTCGCAAATTTATTTTAGAATGGTAGTCAGACGATAGTAATTAAGAAGCATGTTACTGATAGGAAAAGGAAAATTGATTGTACTTTAGGGTTCATATTACAAGAGTTATTTGCTGCTGAAATTGCTCTCATGATCTCACTTAATCATGTAGGAAACATAGGCAAAAAGGAGTTTGACGGGAACTTTTTTTTACTTTTATTGTCTCAGTATCAATTAATGACATTAAATATTCAGCCAACACTAAACACTGCAAAAATCATAAAATGTTCCACAAACTATTTAACTACTAGTTAGTAGCTAGAAAATATGTCTCAAATAAATGTATCATTTTATTTTCAGGTGACGGAAATACTGAAACTGATTCAAGTCGTATTCTTACAGAAAATTTCCAATTATCCTATTTCAATCCAGTCAAATCAGCACACTCGAAATCCTATAATATGAATATGTTGTTAGCAAGACCAATCTATGTAGCAATGGGAATATCATTAGCTATTCTTTTATTTGGCCTTATCTTCCTATCATTTGCCTTGTTGTTTTATCGAAGGAATAAACTGGTACATATTTCTAATTGTCGGACAGTTTGTAGTTATTCATGCCACAATAGAAATAGCATTACTTCACCTATCAGTGAGAGAGTTATCTGTAAAAGTGCTACAGGAATATCAGAAAATACGGAGAGGCTGAAAAATTGGAATCAACCAGTTTCTGTATTTCCAAATCAACATTCAACAGATGAACCACTTTTATTAAATGGCATCAGTTCAATTGAAAGCATGAATCCGTCCACAGATTATCGGTCGTCAACACTAATTAAAACAGGAAGCAACTGGGTGAAACCAACAGGTTACACAACATCAGCAGAGTGAGTTTGATTTCGTAAATCCATACTAATTTTCTTCAGATATATTATAAATGTGTAAACTACTGGTTAGTGGAACGAAGGGTTAATTTACTGTTAAAATGAAGGTAACCACATGAATCTTGCGGACTTATGTAACGCACGATCTTTGGTAGATTTAAAAACACGATATTGAATGATATATTTAGTGATGTGATCTTAGAGATTAGATGAAGCGTATTGTTTGAGTGAATGACGCTTAGTTCGAGTAAACTTGCATATTGTGAAGAATTACCAGTCACCAAATAAAATATAAGTTTGAAATGATCGTCCAATACTAATATTATCTAGAGTATCATGAAAGGCTAAACAGAATAAGATGCCGATAATCTCTTATTGTTATAACTATCTAGTTTGCAAGACTTCTTCATCTAGCATTAATAAGTTAAGAAGTTTAAAATCTATGTAACTAGAATAATATATTTAACAAATCCATCTGAAAATAGGGTGAGTTATTAGAATGGGGATTTGTGGAGATTTTATTTAATCGATGTAAGCTAAACTACCACTGAAAACCTTGAAGCCCTGAACATTAACACTGACACTATTGGATGCCGGCTTAGTCGTTTAGACGTTAAGTGTTCGCTCGGGAGATCAAAAATCTCGGGTTAGAATCCCTTCGTTGAGGGATCATGGATACGCACTTCTGTGAAGTCCTATACTAGGATGAATTAGCCGTCCAGTGTTTTTAGGTTTTCAGTAGTGGTCTAACTGACATCGACTCATGAATTCAACCATCATACTAAGTTAACTCCTTTTTTTAATTTAATCTATTAAATTTTTAGAAAGAAAGAAAATGTCTATAAAGAGAATTTATTTACATATTACTGTAATCATTGTATCTGCTGTTATTCTAATAATAATAACAATGTTAATAATGATATAAATGATTTTAGTCATTCAACAAATAAAGACTTCAAATCATTTATTAACTTATCACAATTCAATAAAAGAATTATAACTATGGATAATACAGAAAATAATAATAATACTACTATTAATGATCATCATTTACATCCAGTTCTATGTGAAACAAGTGAGTTTAGTTTAAATACAGATAATCAAAAACAAGAACCAAGTAGTATATCTACACCATTATTTAGTATTCATTCAACATCTACTCATCAATTACAAGATTTTATTGAATCTAAAAAAATAAATACTAATAATCATAGTTATTATAATAATCATAAATCATTATTAATCAATAATCAAGATACATTTACATGGATACAAAATCAACAATCACATAATCAAAATTCAATGAAATGTCAACAATATAATTATTATAATCAAAAATTACAAAAAAATATTAATTTAATACAAATGAATAAACAACGTCAAATTTATTCAATGCTTAATGATTTCAATGAAAATTGTTCTGATTCTATTAATTTATATGATATTGATAATAATAATAATAATTCGAACTATGAACATATTAGGACAATGCCAAAACAGAAATTCATTGATATGGAAGCAAGAAAAAGTAATACAATACAAATAAATAGTAATATTGATTCAGTCTCTCCTATATTACATAATGATATAAGAAGAAATACAAATTGTAGTAATAGTAATAGTGATCATTTAGAAAATGAATCAATAAATCAACAATCTATATTACCAATTCAATTCAATGATTTATTATTTCCTCATTTACCACCACCTCCATCTTATCCACCGCCTCCTTTGCATCAACAACAAGAAACTCAACAAAGAATTATTGAAATTTTAAATCCTCATAACTCTACTAATACTACTACTACTACTAATAATAATAATAATACTAACAATAATAGTGATAATAAAGTTTTAAATCATAAAAATACTCTATTTGTTGACTTACATCGATTTGATATACTTTTACAACGTCAAAGAGGTACTGGAAAAACAAGTAGCGGTGGTGAAGATAATAAAACAATAGAAAGTGAACAATCTGATATAAATCAAATTTGGAAAATGTCCGGTTCAAATGAAAATAATAGTGAATTGAATACTGTTATAATAGATCACAGAATTATTCCTTTGAACAATAATGATAATAATAATCAATTTTCTAAATATTCAACTGATTTAAACAACTTAACTGAACATAGAATTCTTGAAACCGATTTGATTGGTTTGGCAACTTTTCGTAAAGCTGATGAAAAAAATGTAGATTTAGTTACACCATATGCACAATTTGATTTATCACCAGATTCAAGTATGTGTATAACAGCTGAATAATCAATAAAATATTATGATAATAAGAACAAAACAACCCCCCCCCAGAATATTTACATTATATCACTCCTCTTTTATAATATGAACACATATATATTTTAATGTATTAAACACATACATAATCAAAATGTAAATAAATTCATTATACATAATGAACAATATTACTTTTAGTATTAGCCTTATAAACAAAGATAGATGATGGCCAATAGTGGAATACAAAATGTGTATTTCATCCTATTTGGAACTAGTCAGATGGATGTATCTGCATCTTAGAGTTGATCTTCATCCTGGGACTTGAACTCAGAACTATTCGCTTCAAACGACATTGCGTTAACAACTTATCTACTGAGTTCTGATAGCCAGTTGTTTGTGAAGATGGAAAGTGGCTATGAGGACTCAGTAGGTAAGTGGATAACGCAATGGCGTTTGAAGCGATATTTATTGGGTTTTTGTTTTTGAACACTCAATCAGGGTTAGGGTTTTTTAAGATGATAAGAGATAATGATACTGTCTTGTTACTCGATCGTGTCAGAAGTTGAAGATGATGAGGTGCGGAAGTAAATCGAAATTATTGGTCGATGTCTCTTAGTGTATGACATTTAAGCTGATTAGTTATCGTTGGAGGTGAGCAGTATAGAGTATCTAAAAGTTGTTTGGTTAGGATGTTCAACCGAGCTCCTTTAGTTGTTGGTGTATCCAGCAATAATACTGTGTCTGGTATCATTACCGAAAATCTATGAAGTTACTTATTTTGAGGATTTATTTACTGTTGGATTCTGACTGGTTGAGTCTAATCTACCCTCTAGATAACGTTTGTACAAAACTGCAAAGGTTGAATTACGATCAAGCATGTAACCTATTTCGAATATATGTTTAGCAATGAAGAAAAATGGGTATTTGTCATTACTGAGTCATTTGGCTTTATTTGTTTTTGGAGCCATTTTGGTACATATTCAGATATTCTAACTTGTATATCACGACTACTCATCTTTATGTTTATTTGGACAGATACAAGTAAATTGGAAGATAAAGGGATTTGAAGAGCAATCGTTTACATACTGTATATATCTTCGTTGAACCCCAGACCTTGTTTTAAAAAGAATATTAGTCAACTTTGGTTCATGTCCTTACCAAAATTGGCTATTCGAGTCACCACTGTGTGGTAAGGTGATATAGACAGGCTTGTCTGATTTCAGAAGAGTAGTAGATCTCACTTGAGATCCATTTCATTGCCTTTTTTTAGAGGATAAACAATCTCTCTCAGTGTTTTGTTCAATAAGCTCACCTGAACTAGATTAGAATAATTTATTTGTATAGAAACAATCCTATTAAATAGACATTTATTATCCTTGTCTTCCTTTTACTTCTCAATTTGTCGGGTTGACGATTGGTTTTCAGTAGAAAATCACCTTAACAAGTGAATGTGTGACCAGACAGTTAGAAGTATATTCAGCTTACATATCACATGAGTGAAAATAGCATGATCTTGTATTTTCTTAAATTCTGATGTAAACTAAATTAGAATTCATAAAAATTTGGAAGACAAAAGTCATTTAATGTTGCTAATTAAAAGACCATTTTAGTTTTTCTTTATTTCAAGATGGTATTTTGGAAATTGTAATCATTAATTGTGCATGAATTGACTTACTGATTAACTAAAGTTGAAGGCCATTAAACTTATTTAAACTATGTCTATAAATCGTATGTTTAAGCGTTGAGTTAAGAAGTAATAATGCACTATCTGGTATCTGAATATTTTTAAATAATAATTTGAATACAACAGAATTATAGATCGATAATGAGTGCTAATTTCTTAACAATAACAACAATTTATTTAACAAATATGGTTGAAGTCGATTGATTACGGCTATTTAATACAAGTTTTGGAAATCTATCTTGACTAGTGATTGGCTACAAGATAGATTTTCGAGAGTTCTAGTGAGAAGGCATGAGCAGTGGAGTTGAAGTAGTTATTCACTGATGACAATTTGGTGGTGGATTGGTTGAAGTTAGACATTAACACCGTTGGGTGTCGGCTCAGTGATCTAGATGTTCAGTGTTCGCTCGCGAGACTGATGGTCTTGGGTTCGAGTCCGTTTGGTGTGGGATCGTGGATGAGCACTGCTGATGGGTTCAATAATGGCGCGAAACGGCCGTCCTAGTGCTACCAGGCTTTCAACGGTTGTCAGATTTCCAAATGAAATTCTCGATTCCGAAGTGAATAAGTTTGTTCAAGTAATGAGTAAATCAGTAACAACAGAGAAAACGTCGTTGAGCACAGACAATTGTATGTTTGCCAATTTCTTACTCTTCTGATTGTTTTGATATACATGATTTCCTAGGTAAGATTGCACGATGAAATATTTAAATTGTTTAACGCTCAGATTCTGTATATGTACAGCTAGCTGTTAGGTGACACGAAGAATACGTGCTACTCACAGAGTATAACTGGAGAAAATTGATGGTTGTATCATGGAAAATATTTCAGATGTCGTTAATCGTAACCAATAGTTTACTGCTTCCTTGATCTTATCACGTTTAAGCAGCACGGAAAGAGATTTATAGAATAACTTAATGTTTAAATAAGCTATGTATTTTCTGGAATTACCAATCATTTACATTTGTCATCGATCAATCATTACTCACTATCTATACTTTTAAATCACCGTTTTTCGTTCCCAAATGTATAAGAAGAAATCATGTTGTGCATCGTAGGACCTTGAAGAATGCACGTATCAATGATGGTTTGTGTTTTGACTTTATTATGAAGAGGGTTGATGATAGTTATTTGAAATCTCACAAAGGTTAGCATATGTTATTTGATAAAATACTAACCATTCCCTTCATTCTTCCGTATTTATATATATAGGTGAAGACTCTCATACATAAGTATCTGTTTTGGAAGAGGAAAATGAAAATACTCAATAATATCGTATTTAATGCATATTATCTTACGAAGAAGTTACAGGAGTAAAACGGAAATCATGATAATTGACTATGCCAACCAGTATATCATTGTTATTATATTTAAGTGATTCACAACTCTTATTCCGGAGAAATTACTATTCTTTACACAGGTTTGACGAAGCAAAAAGTTATCAGTATGCATTAATTGGAAGCCTCATACTGAAAATTCAACTTTTTCACGTTTTCTCATTTATAATTATTCATAATATGTTTATGCGAAGAAGGTAACAAACCAAAGTATATTTATGTTCTTAATTGATTCATACAAACAAAAAGAAATCATCTTAATAAATTAAAACAAATGTGTTTTGTGTGTGTGTGTGTGTAGAAGTAAGGAATGTAAAATAAATAAATTTAATGATCCGTCTGAATTTTCGATCTCTCTGAATGACCTTCATGACCTGAAAACAAAACACAAATAAACAATGATATGTTATGTAATAATATGTTCACAAGCTACATAAGACAATATAATCTCCAATAGCGGACAATATCAAATCGTGCAGTTACATACCATGAGACGTGATTGTAACGGATCTGTAGGTAATTAGATCTTTAAAATTAGATTCTCATTGGGAGTTTTACAACAACAACTGACAAATTTGGCATCTGGATATAATAAAATCAATATTAATTAGATGATGATGAATGACTTCTGGGTTTTATAGATGTTCACGAAACGATAATGAGTGGATCCATAAAGTCTAATGGTTCACCAATAAATTGTATTGTAAATTTACTTGAGTTTTTTTTGTGAAGTATTTTGTAGTTTCAAGATATAAATCGACACAAACGAATATTAACTGTGATTAGCTTGGGATTCTTCAGATGTGTGGAAGTGTGACAAACATACGATCGGATGGATGGTTTCCAAGTTTCACAAAAAACAACACAATAACTAGCTATTAAATAAAGTAGCAAACTGAATATATAACAATTGTTCCGAGTTTTTAAGGCTTTACAGTGGTTCGGAATGAAAATGACAATTAGGCTATGTAAATATTCTTAAAAGACGCTACAAAGTATCCTATAACACTGATTAGTGAAGAAACTGGAATAGTTGTACAATCTCACAGTTACACAACAACTTGATTTAAATTATTAATTTTACAACAATATTTGCAAGCATAACCGTCATATCCTTCTTAATCCCCAAGGCACTTCATCTAATCAAACACAACAATTGTAGATTATAGTTCATATAAGAGTTGGCCATATCACATTGAAACGATCAGAAAAACTGGTCGGCTTATATGAACTCATATCACTTGTGGAGTAGGCGAGATATCCGTCTACTAGCCAAAGGAAGTGTTTACTGAACAGTGGTTCACTCAGTTTTTCATTATTATTGAGCAACATGGTCATTAAGAGGATGGGATATACGTAGACTACTGGTATGACATTGTAGGTGTCCAAAAAGCATTGCTTGTGTATAATGAAATTACAAAGTAAGAAATGATTGGGTTAGGAATAAAGTATTAGGTAAAAATGGGAAATCAACTGGTGAGGTAGTATATCTACATCAACTGAGGTGGTTGGGACATGTGTTACTTTCGCACAACCACTCCCTTCTTTGACGAGCGACGATGTATGATATAGGTGTAGATTGAAGGAGAGCTAGGGCCGGACAAACCAAGACATCGCATCAGTCATAATGACACTGAATATTGTAATGAGACATATATAGAGAGCTGTAGATTTCTGCTTGAGGTCCACCAGATTACCGTAACTAATAGTTGGACACTAGAATGGAGTGCTTCAAAATTGTGTGCAAATAATCAGGTAGATTCACTCCCAGTATTTCCTTAGATTCTAAGTCTATAAATGTTTTTTTAATTCACTATTTTATACTTTCTTCTTAAATTGCGTTTTGGATACCTAATATTTTCTATTATTACTAATACTAGCACCGTCTCTACTATCTTCTGATTTACTCTGACAATTTCATACAGACGGGCTAATGGGTTATAGGAACTTGTACTCACGTGACAGATTTTACGTTGCGTTTGACTGATTGAAAATAATTACATAGATTTAAGATGATGAATTGCAAAATAGTCGAGATTATTGGAGCGTCGATGATACTGAGGAAAGCTGTAAATTGAGAATATGGCTCGAAAATACAAAGTGGAACTCAAGGTCTACAAGAAAATAACGAGTGAATTCATTCACGCTGTTGTGACGAGTTTTGAACTATGTGACCCAACGTATTCGACTGCTAATCGTGGTTTTCGTGTGGAAACCAAAACCAGGTAGTCTATATATACCTACGCCGCTCACACTAAAAACTGAATGATTTCAATAAGGTTAACATTTGTTATTAATTTAACAACACTCAAATGAATATCTATACAAATAGGTAAACGTGAATCTACTGTTCCACTACTTAGTAGTTAAACAATACTGAAGTACCGGTGCTTAAGCAGTAAGAACTATCAATTACAATGTGTTCTGTAGTGGTATTTACATATATCTATGAACGTAATGTAAACTATATTAATTTCAAGGGAATCAATACACAAGATAAATCTACTTAAAAGTATGTAAATTGTGAAACATACTTTTTCACATTGATAGACATTACATGGAATTGGTTATTACCATTAAGGTTATGGTTTCAAAGCATTCGATGATAATTACGACGATGTGTCCACAGAACAACAATCATCGGATTCTATAACCGATGGCATTACATTGTTCGATTTATCATATGCATTATTTGAAGTATCAGATGAATTTTGTCGAATAGCTGTATACAAGGATGGGAAAAAGAAATATGAGAGAAGTAATTGAATAAATGAATAAATTCATATCATTAACAAATAAATAACTCAATAGATAGAATACTTGGATGATTTTGAAATATTGGCCAACCGAATCCCCTAGTAATAGTGACAACTTGGACCAATATGCACTCGTGGCATGTCCAATGTTGGTAATGGGTGACTGGTGTTGTGTTCATTTAGAATTGCTGGCGATTTAAACATGTTTTACTTTTATTTTCGTGAGAAAATCTAACATCAAGATATGAAGTCTAAAATCATGGAGGACGTAGTCCTTTCACTACTGTGTTACACTCCGACAGCGAAACCAATACGACAACAGGATATACTCGGAAGTGAATCAATATAAACCTCAATCTTCCTTGGAGTTTATGAACATTATCATATGTATGAGGCAGAAAAGCATATAACTTTATTCAATATGAAGCTTTTCAACAAGTCTGTCTTATTAAATAAAACGTATAAGAAGCATACCATATTGTAAAAATGATTTCGAGATAAAAGTGAAGCAGTGAGCCAACGGTTTGCCAAAAAGTTGTCATTAGAAATTGCATTTATTGTGATATGTTAGGAATAACGAATATTCTTATTTTTATTCAGTATTATGATAGAAATATTGATGAGACTTACTTTCTTGACTCTGAGTAGTCAAGTATCAATCTAATTTTGCCACATGAGAATTACTTTACGTTAGGGTGATAAGATGACAAGATAAGAGCTTACTTTTGTGTTGGTTACACTATTTGAGATGGATGGTTTAACTGTGGAGGTTTCAATGATGTTTTAGTAAGAGTTTATTTAGTTCGGTTGACGTATGATTATGTGGATGACCGATGATTTCCATATTCAATATTAATTCTCCTAATGCCGTAGTGTTTAGTCAGTGATATCTAAAGTGGAATCAGGCACATAGATGGATATTTTTGACATTTTCTCTGTACGTATTGATAAATGTGATAATACGGTTATGAATTTAATTGGTGAAGTGTAAACATATGCAATCTAGTAAGCTTAAAAAAATCAGAAAATTTCTTGAAATACGGCATTCAAGTTACCTAACATATCGAAGTAGGTACAAATGATCAGTTTTTATGATGAATCAATCAAATGATGAACAAATTAAGAGTAATAATTTATCATAATCTTCTGAATTCTTCATGTCCCTTCTTTCTCTTTCCAAATTTATTTCCCTGGATTATCATTCACCTGAGCTCCAATCTTCTCCACCATCTGGATTATACTACTTGAGTAACATCTTGAAACCCTAATGTTTACGATGACTGCTTATACTCTTATTATCTCTACCACCATGAGATTTGAATCGACAATTGTATCTGTGTGCTATTGTGTTATGACAAATCGAATTGATTTACGTATGTGCGAAGTTCTACGTTGTTGACTGACTGACTGAATGAATTATCATATATTAAATGTTATTTTTGTTCAAAAATATTAATGATATGTGCACCAAATATTCAATAAATCAAAAAGTATTTAGGGCAATAACTCACCTAATTTAATTTTGCCTCGATGTACAGGAAGTTTTTTTGAAAAATCTACATTCTTGGCATCGATTATGTTCGTAGATTTTTTTAAAGACTTGAAAGCATCTGTCAATTCTGTAATCATTTCTATACTGGGAGATTTTAAATTATATTTATAATTAAATGAAACTGTTGATGATAATTTTCTGACAGGTTTCACTCCTGAATTTTAAGTAAATTCGAATGCAATTTATATACATGAGAAAGATATATACAATCAGGACAAAAGTAATAAAAATTATTTATCATTTTATAAATTTCGGGGAAGAAAGATATAAAACTAAGGTGCATAACTTATAAAACCATAATCTCCCATACTATCTAGGAAAAAAAGTCTATCAAAAACAAGGTAAACACATAGTATAAATTTGGATCCGCCAGTATTGCTTACGACCTGACCACAAAAAACGGAACAAAAACAATCAATATCAGAGCAGAAGTGGTAGTGGTAGAAATAGCATTCGTCGAAATGACATGGATTATTCAAACACAATATGATTCCACAAGAATGAGTTGACGCAGTAAATAAGTAGAACAAGTTTAAGATGTAGTAACATGCGACAGATATGAAACTAACATAGCTACAAATAACAACGAATTAAGACAACGACACAGAAAATAGCTTCGTGTAATCTAACAATAAAAACCATAACAAAAATTACTAAGCCACAAATGTGAAAAATCAGTGGTAAAATTAACTTCTTAAAAATGAAAAATTGATTTTGCAACTAATTACAGCGAAACAAATGATCAGTTATCATTTCGAGAATCACTCATTTCAACAAAGTACCAATCGGACTTACCTGAATCTCCTCTAAGTGATGGATCCGAATAATTAGCACGCATAGTGGAGTTCCGTTGTAAAGACGATAGAGCTGGTGGAGGAGGTGGTGGTGGCGGTGGTATTGCAGAACGACATTCTTTCTCGGATTCCTAAGAGCAGTGAGAATAAAAATGGCAAATTAAACTCAAGCACAACATCATCCGATTAGACTGATCAGACATTATGTTTACATTGCATACATACCAAAAACATTGATTTTCCACATCCACATGGAAGACACAATGAAACAGTCACAAATGAAATCCGCTCACCATAGAAATACAAAACCACAATATTACACTTATTAAACACGGCTCAATGTTTTAAACGAGCTAGTCAAAACACTAATGTGTGGGTAGAAAGGAATCTAAGGTCATTGTGACTGAAACAAAAACCAACACACACAGTACAGCTTCCACAAAAGATAAATAACAAATCGTATGATGGTTTTCGAAATAACACTGATCACTGTTATTAGTCTATTCTATAGATCAGAATCAATGGTAAATATATTTATTTTATGAACAAGTAGGACATAAATTATTTGAAAATATTGGCTTCAGTCTGTCTGGTGCAAACTCAGTGTCCAGAAGACCATTTATAACTCCGCCTTCAGCACTTCTAGGTTCACTGTTGGTTTGGGCATGGGTTTAATAAACCCATCGCGTAGAAAATAACCTTTTTGAAAAATTACTAATCAGAAAAATCATTTTAATCATTCAAACTATCTCCTGTGAGTTGAAGGACAGTAATTCAGAAGAGTTACGACGACCCCAAGTGGAAGACGAGATTTTCCAGAAGTCATGAGTCCGATGCCCTTTCTGACAACCAATGTGACAATTAATATAGGTACATGGAATATCCAAACAGTGGAGGAGACCGGGAAGACCAATGATACCTCAAAACTGAAATTCTTTGCTACACTTTAGTCATTACTCGAAACTACCGGAATGAGTGAAGAAACTCAACAGGAAATAAGATTAAATATAGTACCACTAACTCTACGTATGAAAGACAACACGCGACTGACTTCACAAGAACAAAAAGCTTTGAAGAAACTAAGAGGTAGAGAATTTATTGTCATCGTTCCAGCGGACAAGGGACACACCACAGCGATTATGGACAAAGAAAAATAAATCATGAAAGCCAAGGAACTACTTGAGGATAAAAGAATATATAAACCGATGGACACAAATCCAGTCAAAAGATTAGACAACCGAATCTCAAAGACATTAAACAAGCTCGTCAATTAGGACAAATATCAAATAAAAAAAAACCGATAGGTAGAATTGTAGCACTTCCGGAACCCCAGAAAACAACTTATCATGGGAGATATAACGAATGTTGAAACATTTAATGCATTCGTCCAACCACTTCACCAAATACTCAATACAATTCCTCGACCACATTTACTATACATAGGACGCCGACCACCACTCTCCAACACACTCTGTCCTGAAACTTCCTTTCTAGTAATATCCGATTGTCGTTCATTCTTCTCATGTCTATCTCCATTTTTCAGCATAATGTCTTCTTTGTTCTTCCTCTCCTCCGTTGTCCTCTGGGATTCCAAGTGAGGGCTTACCTTGTGACGCAGTTCGGTGCTTTCCTCAATGTGTGTCCTATCCATTTCCAGCACATCTTGATTTATTCCTCTGCTGGGATACGGTTTGTTCTCTCCTACAATAGGTTGTTGCTGAAAGTATCTGGTCAACGGATCTGAAGTATTTTGTGTGGACAACTGTTCATAAACACTTATATTATCTGTATGACGGATTTCGTAGTTCTCTAAGTTTCCGCTCCATACAGTAGAACTGACTTGACATTTGTTTTCAAAATTCTGACTTGGTGTTGGTTGACAGTTCCTTTGAGTCCCAGATGTTCTTCAGTTGTAAATATGTTGCTCGTGCTTTGCCGATCCGCGCTTTCACATCTGCATCAGATCCACCGTGTTCATCGATGATACTGCACAGATACGTAAACGTTTTTACATCCTCCAAAGCTTCTCCGTCAAGTGTGATTCGATTGGTGCATGCTGTGTTGTATCGGAGAACCTTGCTCTTCCCTTTGTGTATATTGGGACCTACTGGTGCTGAGGCTGCTGCTACACTAGTCGTCTTCTCTTGCATTTATTGTCGCGTTTGTGATAGAAGAGCCAGATCATCTGCGGAGTCTTGATTGTCTAGTTGCTTCTTAACTGTTCACTATATTCCATGTTCCCCTCTCAGATGTTAACGTTTTCATGGTCCAATCGATCACCAGGCGAAAGAGAAAGGGTGAGAGTAAGCAACCTTGCCTGACACCGGTCTTTACTTCGAACGACTCTGTCAGCTGTTCTCCACGCATTAATTTTTGCTGTTTAATCCATCATAGGAATTCCGTATGATGTTGACTATTTTTTGAGGCACGCCGTAGTGTCGAAGAAGCTTCCATAGTGTTGTTCTGTCCACGCTATCAAATGCCTTTTCGTAGTCAATGAAGTTGATGTAGAGTGATGAATTCCATTCAATTGATTGTTCCACAATGATCCGTAGAATTGCGATTTGGTCTGTACACGATCGATCCTTACGGAATCCAGCCTATTGGTCTCGAAGTTGGGCGTCTACGCAGTCCTTCATTCTGTTTACCAATAACCGGTTGAAGATTTTTCCTGGTATTGAGAGAAGAGTGATGCCCCTGTAGTTATCACAGTTGCTGAGATCGCCCTTCTTCGGTATTTTGATCAGAAGTCCTTCTTTCCAGTCTGTTGGTACTTGTTCCTCATCCCAAATCTTATTGAAGAGAATGTGGAGTATCCTTGCAGTTACCGTTACATCTGCTTCCAGTGTCTCTGCTGGAATGTTGTCAGGTCCTGCTGCTTTGCCGCTCTTGATTTGTCTGATGGCCATGCTGATTTCTTCAATTGTTGGTGGGCCAACATCGATTGGGAGGTCCGTTGGTGTTGCTTCGATGTTGGGTGGGTTCAGTGGGGCTGGTCGATTCAAGAGTTCTTTGAAGTGTTCTACCCACCTGTTTTGTTGCTCTTCAACGTTGGTGATTACCTCGCCTTCCTTGCTTTTCACTGGTCGTTCTGGTTTGCGGCAATTTCCAGAGAGTTTCCTTGTTATGTCATACAGTTGTTTCATGTTCCCTTCTCTTGCCGCCTTTTTCGCCGTCGTTGCTAGATCTTCCACATATTTACGTTTGTCGGTTCTGATGCTCCTCTTTACTTGCTTGTTTTCTTCTGTGTATTCAGCTTGTGCCTTGGCTTTATCTGCTCTTGTTCGGCTGGTATTGATTGCTGCTTTCTTGTTCCTCCTTTCTTGAATCTTATCCAGTGTTTCAACAGTGATCCATTCCTTGTGATGGTGCTTCTTGTGGCCCAGAACCTCATGACATGTTGAAGTGATTGCCTCTTTGATCCCCTTCCAGTTGCTCTGCACAGTAGTTCCTTCTCCATTGAGTAGATCATGAAAGGCCTGGAACTTGTTGCTGAGGACTATCTTGAATTTGTTGAGTTTGTTAGTATCCTGAAGAAAGGCCGTATCGAACTTTTGTGATATTGTCCGCCCCGTTGTCCAGTGCTTCTTGAGTTTCAATTTCATCTTGGCGACTAGCAAGTGATGATCTGAGGCTATATCAGCTCCTCTCTTGGTTCTCACATTTTCTATAGTCCTCCTGAACGTTTTGTTGATGCAAATATGGTCGGTTTGGTTTTGTGTAGAGTGATCCGGTGAAGTCCATGTGGTTTTGTGAATGCGCTTATGTGGGAATATGGTGCCGCATATGACCAGTTTATTGAAGGCACAGAAGTTTGCAAATCTCTCACCATTTTCATTCCTTTCTCCTAGTCCGTGTCGTCCCATGATGTCGTCATATCCAGTGTTATCCGTTCCAACCTTGGCATTGAAATCTCCCATCAGATTGGTCAAGTCCTTCGTTGGGCACTTCTCGACGAATGACTGCAGCCTATCGTAGAATTGATCTTTAGCGTCTTCATTGTAGTCGTTGGTAGGTGCATAGATTGAATGACATTCGTTGTAATGCCCTCTTTCTTTGTTTTGGAGGGGGCATTGATGATCCTAGGTTCATGAGATTCCCATCCGATAAATGCTTTATGTAAGTGTTTGGATAGCATCAATGCAACTCCTTGTATATGTGGGGAATTTTCTTCTCCATCGCCTGAAACTAGACTTTGTTGTCCAGCCTGCGTCCAATGTGTTTTACTGATTCCAAATTGTATATTTTCATTTTTTGCAGCAACTTAGATGACTCTTCCGGTCTCCCGCATTGTACGAGCATTCTATGTAGCTAAATAAATGGTTGCCTTGGTTGTCAGAAGGGGCATCGGCCTCGTGACTTACGAAGGAACTCGGATTTCATCATGAGGCGTCATAACTCTTCTAGGTGAAGACCTAACTCCTGAGGGAGAGTTTAAATGGTTTTAATTATTTTTTCTGCTTGGCGTTTTTTAACGAGTTAGTTTTCTACGGGAGTCGCTAACCCCATGCCCAACCCTCCTCCTTTATCCAGGCTTGGGACCGGCAGTAGCCCCAGAAGGGCTACAGGTGGAGTTCTCGATCACATTAGGACATTCAAATCAACAACGACGAGCTGATGATATCCCTCGATGTAACAGCCTTATTCACCTCAATTGAATCTACCTTAGCAAAGGAAACTCTATATCTGCTTCTCACCAAAGACACAAATCTCGCAAAGTACACGAAGCTTTACAGTCAATGTTTATCAGAACTCATTGATTCATGCTTAACAATGTGTTTTCAATTCAACAATAAAATCTACGAACAAACAAAAGGAACATCGATGGGATCAGCAGTATCAGGGCTTATCACAGAAGCAGTGATACGGAGACCGAAAGCCTCGATCTTACAAGTAATCAAGCTAGAAATTTTGATTAGTTATGAGGACGACATATTCGTCATCTTCAAAAAGGACGAGCTGGAAAACACTTACAATCTGATCGATGACATCAAGTTCACAATGGAACAAGAATTGAACAATAAACTGGCATTCTTGGATGTATCAATCACCAGAACCGACATAAGAAAACTGGAAACTCAAGTGTATAGGAAACCGACCCATACAGATCAAATTCTCAACTACAGTAGCAACAACCTAAGAGCTCACAAAATCAAATGCGAACAAATTTTGTTCAAGAGGGTGGGAACACACTGCAACACACTTGCTGCACGAAAAAATGCAGAAAAATAGCT